CCTCTCTCTCCTTTCTCTCTCTCTCTCTCTCTCTCTCTCTCTCTCTCTCTCTCTCTCTCTCTCGTTCTCCCTCCCTCCCTCTCTCTCTCTCCCCCCCCTCTCTCTGTCTCTCTCTCTCTCTCTCCTCTCTGTCTCTCCCAGAGGCACTAAACCCCGAGCAGGTTTGCGAATTGCAGGTGGTGCTGACTGGGTGCTGTCCGACTCCTGCCTGAGGTACTTCCCTAGCTCCCAGCTCCCCCAGCCCGATGCTGTGGGGTGGCCACCAGACCCCACTGGCCCTCCCAGTCTCTGGTGCCCACTCCAGGCTCACCACCCTGAGCCCCTGGCTGCCTGGCTGGCCGAGTGTGGTCTGTGCTTCTTCTAGCTCCCCCTGTGGGGCCCCAGGCCTTCTATCCTTCCAGGACCCCTGCCCTGGGCTCTTGTCCCTCTGCAGTGCCAGGAAGGCCTAGGACTTGCAGCAAGTGGTCAGGGGCAGCACTGAGTCCCCCTCGGGGTGCTGTGGGTCTGGGTACCGTGAACTGCTGGGCCAGATGTAGGAGGGATGGGCAGTGGCTCAGGGGAGCGTGGGCACAGCCCAGCCTCAGCCAGCAGCAGTGTCTGTGCCACGCACGGGTCTCCTGGCCCAGACGCCCACGGGCCAGCAGTGGCTGGGGCTCAGCGGTGGGTCTGGAAGGGCACCCTTCTCCTGGTCCCCGGCTCCTGCTGCCCCACCTGACACCCCCTGCCAAGAGTCCATGGCCTCGTCCCCACCAGGGCTGGGCCACTGCCAGGCGCTGAGATGGGAACCCTGCAGTGCGGCCGGTCTGTCTGTGGTAAAAGGCACTGACGGGGGCACAGAGGGCCTGTCCATCTCAGGTCTCCCACCCTGCCAGCCCATCCCGGCTGAGCCTGGTCCCTGGAGGATCCTGATGAGGTGGGAGAGTTGAGGCTGTGCCTGGGGCTCCCGGGTGTGTCCCCTCCTCAGTCTTCTGCGCCGTTCCCCACGCACAGGGGGTGCAGCTGGGCTCCTGGCTGGGTGGGAGCCCTCCTCCCATCTGGCTCCCCCGCCAGCCCCAGCCACAGTGTGGCCAGAGGCCAGTTTATCACCATGTTTCCCAAGCATCTCGGCTTCCTGTGTCCCATGAGCGAGGCTGAGTCACACAGCCCCTCCCCCTCCAGCCATCATGCGCCTCTCCCTCCCCCTCCCTGTGTCCCTGGGCCGGGGCTGCTCCCCCTTGCTCCCTCTCCTGCCCCTGCTGGTGGCCCATGACTGAATGCCCCCTTGGTCCTCCCTTTGGTCCTCCTGCCAGCTCCCTGGTCTCCTTTGTGAGCCTCAATAAGTGGGCAGACACTGTCCCCAGAGGACAGGGATCTCATAAATGCTGTTCCAGGGCCCTGCTGGGAGGCTGGGAGGCGGGGAGGGGCCAGCCCTGGGTCCGATGCCAGCACAGAGTGGCTGGCGGTGAGTTTTGAGTGAGTCTTGAACTTTGCTGAGCCTCTGGTGTTCCCCTTATAAGAAGGCCACTAACTCTCGCCTGGGGACCAAGGGGACTAAGGCCACATCCAGTGAACCTCTGGCCTGCAGCAGGCTCACAGGCATCGCTGTGGTCCAGGAGGGCACCTGTGGGAGCTGTCCCCGGGGACTTGTGCCCTCTGTGTCACCTCAGGTGTGTCCCCATGTAGGGTTTCTGGATCGCTGTCTCTGGCTGTGTTCTCAGGGGACAGACGCTGACCAGCCTGGGCTCACCCGCAGATTCCCAGGAGGCTCCATGCACAGAGCACCCCCCAGGCGAGCGGTTCCAGGTCTCCAGGGCCAGGTTGCTGGCAGCCTCCCTCGAGGGGGTGGCGTGTAGGTGTCCAGTAGGTGAGGTGAGGCGGGAGGAGGAGAGGCCCCCCCCCGGGGCCTGGAGGTGGGAAGTGTCAAGCCGGTGGTGAGGACGTCCGGGGCGTCGGCAGCAAGGGATTGGGCAGCCTCCAATGCCAGGGACACGGTTCTCACCTAGTCCTCGCCCCCGGGTGCATGCTGGCTAGCGGGGAGGCCGGAATGGTTGCCCTAAGAGCGGCCGGGTTGGGTGGCCACATGAGCTGGTCACTGTGAGGGTTCTGAAGAGGTGAAGGTATCCAGGCCCCACCCGCTGGGCCACCTCGTTTACTCATTCACTCACCGTTTGTGCCAGGCTTCCCGGTCAGGACCAAGGATGGCCTGGTAAAGAAGACCCGGTGACATCCACTGTCACCAGAGGCCACCTTGCAGGCTCTTGCTGCTGGTTCAGTGAGATGGGACTCAGCCTCCCCAGGCCCACGGGCCAGGTTCTGGACAGCGAGGGAGCAGCCCCCGGTCCCCTGGCCCAACCAAGTGGCTCCCGGCCTCCAGAATCCCCAGCGCACCAGGGACTTGGAATGTTGGTTTTGGTGTCCCCTCCCCTGGCTGTGCCAGGACACATCTTGCTGGCCTAAGCCAGTTGTGAGGACTCTTTGCATATTCCTGCTGTGCAGGTTGGCTTCCAGCACTCAGATCTCTTTTGGTTGCAAGTGACAGTGTCCCTCAGATAGTTTTAGGAAAAAAAAAAAAGTGAAGCAGTGCACGTGTGCGTGGGGGGTGTGAGCTGGTGGGGGTGTGAGCTGGTGGGGGTGTGAGCTGGCGTGGGGAAGAGCTCTCAGGGCCAGCTGTAGGCTCGGCTGGATCCAGGCTCTCCGGACCCAGGGGCTCGGCTCTGCTTTCCTTGTGAGCAGGCTGGGGCAGGCTCTTCCACGAGGTAACGGGATGGCACCTAGGTGACATCCCTGGCGTCCACCCCACACCCAGTGGCCTCAGAGCAGGGAGCGCACCACTTTCTAAAGGGCCCAGCAGATCCGGACCTGATATTCCCTGGATGCATGCTCTTCCTTCAGCCAAGCACAGGGGCTGGGATGGCCGGGCCTGGGCCACGTTTCCACTGCAGGAGTGGGAGCAGGATCATCCACGGAAATTGTCGAGTTCTTCAGAGGGGAATGACGTTCTGCCACCAGGGGTGGGACAAGAATGTTGCTGGGTGTGACGTCCCCACGGCCTCAGAGCAAGGTGCCCAGACTGCCTGTCCCTGGGTCCCAAGGCCACGGTGCTCTCCCCTCCACCTGTCCCCATTGCACAGTGCTCCCCAGGACTGGGTGGGATGGGTGTGACCACAGTGAGCCCCACCAGCCCTCCCTGCCCAAGGCTCGTGCACCCCACGGCCCCCGGACCCTGTGTGTGACGGTGGAGTTAAGAACCCTTCCCTGGCTGGGTGCAGCCACAACTCCTGCTGAGCACCCGGGCCCTGGGTGCCTTCTGCAGCACCTCAAAACAAACCTGACGGCAGCCCATTCCCAGGCGATCCTAGGTCTCCTGGGAACCTGGAGCTCTGCCCCGCCACGAGCCCCCTTGTAGAATGCTGGCGCCTCTGCCTGCTGAGGTGTCCCCCCGCCTGCTGAGGTGTCCCCCACCTGCTGAACTGTCCCCGTGTCTCTGTCACAGGGCACGGTGGAGCTGTAATGGTGGAGAGGTACCCAGAGGGCAGGCCCCGCCTGGTGTAGGGTGAGGCAGGTGGCCTACAGCCTCCTCTGTGTGTCCCCAGCCTGGAGTGCAGTGGGCAGTGGGAGCAGGACCATGAGCCCAAAAGCAAGGCAGAGGAACAGGCTAATGGCTGGAATCAGGTGCTGCCTGGTCCGGGCCACCTCAGGAGGGACATGAGACGTGGGTCCTGCAGGGCCTGGCGCCTTGGGAACATGCCCCCTGGGGTTGCCTGACTGGCGAGAGCCATACCCAGCCTGGGGGAGGCCACTCAGCCCGGCCCCCCTGGGCTTGGTGTAGCCCTTCCTGCAGATCCTGACGGGTTAGCTTTGCTTTCCAACCTGGCCCCACTGCCACACTGTGTGACCTGGGCCCCTGTCTGCTGCGTCTCTGTGCCTTTGTCTCCCCACCTAGAATTGGTGTGGCGATGGTCCTTGTGCACAGGGTGGGGGTGCCAAAGTCCTGCGAGGGTTCCTGTCAGCATCTGGAGCTATGGGGCTGCCACCACCTGGCTCCGGGAGACAGGCGTGGCCGTGTTTGCAGTGGACGGGCCCTGGCCTGGCCCGCGCCTGTGAGTGCTGACCACGGTTACGATGCAGCTTTCTGTTTCCTACCTCCAGGCAGGAGAGGAAGAGAGGATGTCAGAGAGAACGTGACCTGCGCCCACCCTCATCCACCCTCCGAGTGGCTCCACCATGCAGAAACCCAGTGGCCTGAAGCCCCCTGGCCGCGGGGGGAAGCATTCCAGCCCCATGGGTAGGACATCTTCTGGGTCAGCCTCGGCCTCTGCAGCGGCGGCAGCAGCCACTGGCTCCAAGGAAGGTGCGTGGGATCAAGGGCGGGCAGGGAGCTGCGTGGGGAAGGGGGTTTTTCTGGGAACACAGGCTGCTGTGTGACCAACCTGGGGGCCAGTGGGTCACTGCAAGTTCTTTATGTCTATCTGTGATCCCTTTAATTAACTACTGAGCAGGCTTTGTCCTCTCTGTGCTCCGCCCCCTTGAGGAGGTGGGCACACCCATGGCCCTGCTTTGAGAGGGGGAAAGAAGGCCCATGGAGGTCTGGCACCTGCCTAGGTCACTAGGGCCATGGGCACGGCCAGGTTGAGTGCTCCAGCCTCAGTCCCTCCCTCCAGGAGCCCCAGGGTCCTTCGGGGCTAGCCCCTGCTCCCGSCCAATCTTCTCCAGAAGACCCCTGCCCTGGCAGCCTTTGTCACCTGACCTTGGCCTTCCTGCCAGAGGGTAGCTGCTGTGTATTTGCTTTTTTCTGATGATAAACATGAGCTGGGTTCGTMTTCCTTCCCAGTCAGCTGTGCCTCTGTCTCTGGGCTGAGTGATGGTGACATCATTTTAAGACTGCAGTGTGACCCCTGGTCGCTTCCTGGTCTCAGGCCCTGGGGTCTGGAAGCCCCTGGGGGCAGGAGCTGGGGGACTGCTGGGTCTGCTTCCTGCTGGGCAGTTCTAGAGACAGAGGAAGGTGTGCCCACCCCTCCTGTGGCCATTGGTGACACCCAGTACCTGCCTCCCCCCTGGGGCCAGCTGCTGCCTTAGCAGGTGGATTCAGACACCCAGGCTCCGGGGCAGTGAGCTGGGAGCAAAACCTGGGCGAGGGGCAGGGGAGCCCAGCTACCACAGACCTGCCTTGTCCTATTCCAGGGTCTCAAGTGACAGGAGCCCTGGGGGAGGGGCAGACGGGAGTGCCAGGCGAGAACAGTCCCTCCCTCCTGTTGGCCTCTCGGCCTCCCTCACTCGCCTGCAGAACTGCTCTCTAATTCTAAGGTGCCCATCCCCTGTCCAAGGCTGGCACTGTGCACGAGGGCACTGGCAGTGGCTGGGGGCTGGCGTGTCAGTTGGCATCTGCTCTGGGAATCAGTGCTCGGCTGCCTCCCAAAGCATGAGCTCAGCCCCCAGGCAGAGGGTCTGGCAAGGGATGTGGCCTGGCGGCTGCCCCTGCCCACCCCATGGAGCTGGGAGGGTCCTGCGGGTTCCCAGAGCCAAGGCTGCAGGAACAGCAGAGTGTGGGAGGGCGAAGGGGCCTCCACCAGGACCTGCCCAGGAAGGAGGGCGTCTGGGAGCACCTGCGTGAGCAGGACAGGACAGGTATCCGAGACTGCCCAGAGGCAGTCAGGGCAGGCTTGCCCAGGTGAGGGCACTGGTGCCCAGGTGCTTGCAGTTTGTTTGGGGCCTGAGGTGGGAGGCGGGGCTCAGGCCTGGAGGCTGGGGCTAGAGGCTGCTGCAGGGTGTGGCCTCCCCTTGAACCACAGGTCTATTCCTTCTCTGGGCCTGGTACTAAACCTCAGGCAGGGGCAGCCGGGCCTAATAAGAAGGGCTCTGGGGACCTGGCCGAGGACCCCGGGGCGGCCGAGTGGASCAGGCAGGCACAAGCCACCACTGTGCTTGAGGCGCCCACGGGGCGGGTGGGTCCTCGAAGGGCTCTCCAGTCCCTGTGCTGTGGCCCCACCCCAGAGATGCCCACCTGTGAAGGACAGTGTTTGTCACCCACCTGGCACAAGCTCTGTGGGGGTGGTTAGGCGGCTCTTCCTCATGAACAACCCCGGCGTCACCTTCTCTAAATTTTTTTTTTTATTTGTAGCAACACTAGGGGTCACACTCGGGGCACTTTACACTGGACCACGTCCCCCCAGACCTTTTTATTTTGACCTGGGGCCTTCCTGAGTTGCCCAGGCTGGCCTTGAACTTGCCATCCTCCTGCCTCAGCCTCTTGAGCAGCTGGGGTCAGAGGTGTGCGCTCCCAGACCCGCCCCTCTCTTCACGGTAAAGACAAGATGACTGGCCTGCCKTCCAGCTGCTCGGGAGGCTGAGGCAGGAGGTCGCTCCAGCTTAGGAATTGCAGCCCCGCCTGGGCAACAAGAAAAGTTAACAATAAAACGAGGACAAGCCGCGGTCTTGGAGCACTCTGTCAGGTTGCCCAGGTGACAGGGCCAAGGGTGTGGGGTCGGAGCTGAGACTCCTGATCCAGCCCTGGTCTAGAGCTGACACTGGCCACCTCCCACGAGGGGCTGCCTGGGGACCGAGGCCAGTCGCAACTGCAGACACTCTGCTCCTGTGGCCAGCAGGTGGGAATGAGAGGAACATGTGTCCTTGTAATGTTGGTCACTACTGTCCCCAGTATGGCCTTGCCTCACACTGGAGACTCGGAGGTGGAAGTGAAGTGTGTGAGTCGTGACAGACACAGACTTGGCCCTGAGGGTGGGGCTCTTGCTCCGTCACACGGGGCGGCTCCACAGCCTTCCTGTCCTGGAGCCCTGAGCTTGCAGGCTCCTGCGCCCGTGGGTGCTGTGGACACGGAGCTGGCGAAAGGCCCACAGGTGTGGCAGCGGGCCCCAGACTGCAGGGTGATGTCTGTCCCTGCCGTTCCCAGGCTCCTTCTCGAGCCACCCCTGGTGGGATGTGGTTTCAAGGGTATTAGCAGGGCAGGACCAGGACCCTCGAAGCCCTCGCTGCCTCAGGTGTCCCTGCCCAGGCTGCCAAGGTCAGCCGCTCCCTTCAGGGCCAGCTCCTCCGCCCCCTCCCCTAACCACATCCTAAACTTTCTAATGGCTTCAGGATGGGGGAGCCAAGCTGAGCTCTTCCGGGGCTGTGCCGGGGGCAGGGCCGCCTGACGCTCCTGACGTCGTCCACTATTGATCAGAGTGGGCAGCGGGGGCCAGCGCCAGCTGCCCAGTGGCCCAGTGGCTGCACGGCTTCTCCATGGGGAGCTGGCTTTGTTCTTTCCGGGGTAAGCCACCACGTCACCCTCTCCTGGTTCCCGAGGTTCCCGGGTGGGAGCGCTGTCCCCCAGGTTGGGAGCAGTGGGGACGGGGGGCTTTGAGCTCCCTAGGCTCAGGCAGGATGCTGAGCAATTGTGGAGTCAGCCACCCCGTGGGTGGTCTGAGGTCCCTTCTTTAGGGACGGTGGCATAGTGGCGGTGTTGCTGGATGGATGCCACAGCGGATGGCTGACCTTCAGAGGGTCCCTGCCTCAGCCAGGGTGGCCCAGGAGGGACAGACTCAGTCCTCCCAAGTCTGGCGGATGCTGCCAACGGGCGCTCCCTGTGGCAAGGGGGGCTCCCCGTGGGCTGCCTCCTTTGCCCGGTGACCTCTGGGGAGAGGAGGGGCTTCGAGCAGGAAGCTGTCTGGGCCTCGTGGGAATTTATGTGTGTTCCTTAGTCGGGGCCACCGCAGAGTTGGGGCCACCACAGAGGGCATGTGGGGTGGGGACCAGCTGCGTCTCAGCTGGGGCATGGAGGGGAGTCTGTGTGGGTCCATCTCCCAGGCGTGTGCCCAAGGTGGGCACAGATTTACACCAGGCAGCCCGGCAGGACGCTGTGATCCCCGGGAGGACGGAGCCCCGTGGGGTGGGAGGGGGAGAGGTGCCGTGGGTGACGGGGACAAGGGCAGTCTGGAGCTGAGATTTCTTAGGTGATGCCAAGAGCCGGAGACCTGCTCCACCTGGAACACTCCTGCTTGGTGCCTGTGCCCTTGGCATTATCTCTATTTTTTTTTTTTTTTTGGTACAGGGGATTGAACGCGGGCACTTAACCACTGAGCCACATCCCCAGTCTTATTTTCTATTTTATTTAGAGACAGTCTCACTGAGTTGCTGAGGCTGGCCTTGAACTCATGATCCTCCTGCCTCAGCCTCCCGAGCCACTGGGACTACAAGGGCGTTACCTCTATTACAACTACTTCCCATTTCCAGAAGGTCCTGGTGTGGATGGTGACCGGTGCTCCCTTTATTCCCAGCCCCCGTGTGTGGCCAGGGTGCTCTTGAGTGCATTAAAGGCTCCGGGGGTCCAGCGGGAGAACACCTTGAGCCCCTTTAGCTGTGTTGAAGATCCTGTTTCCCAAGCTTATTTGAACTTAAAGGTTAATTTTTTTTCATGATATCTAGTCACAGCCTGTGGAACTGTGTCCTGTGGAGCAGTTAGGGCGGGGGCTACCTCCCCGAGGGACCAGGTCCTGGCCTGGGACCCTCGTTCCCTTCTGAAGCTATCAGGGTGGAGGACGGAGTTCTCCGTGCTCCTGGATCATGACATGCTCTTTTCACGGGTCCCTGCAAGGGCCCTCTTGGTTCTTAATCGATCCCTGTGTCCCCTGCTCCCTATTCCCTTGCTCCTTCCCCCTGCATCTGTGCCAGCTGCCTATCAGGCAGCGTGTGACCAGTGCATCTCCATGTGACCTGGAGAAATGGCTTCTAAGGGCTGCTTGCTGGTCTGAGTGACACTGTGAGGCTTCGGGACCTGCCCCTCTGTCTGGGGGCGCTAGGATTCTAGCTTTTTATTTTTGTGAACGTCAGAAGGGTTTTTATACTTTCTGAATCATTCCCTTGGGAAGTGGGTCAAGGATGACAGTCCCTTGCTTTTATTTTTTTCTCCTAAGAATATTATATTTTACCTGGATTGTACTTTATCCATTTCAATATTTTTATTCCATGGGCTCTGGGTAAAGGTCAGAGTTCAGCAGGAATGACCCTGGGCCTACTGGGGTGGCTTAGCCGTCCAGCACTCTGGGGCCTATGTGAGGCCCTGGGTTTTATCCCCGGCACAGGAAGGAAGGAAGGAAGGAAGGAAGGAGGGAGGGAGGAGGGAAGGAGGGATGGAGGGAGGGAGGAAGGGAAGGAAGGAAGGAGGAAGGGAAGGAAGGAAGGAGGGAGAAGGGAGGGAGGAAGGAAGGAAGGAGGGAGGGAGGGAGGGAGGGAGGAAGCAAAGCAGCCCCAACGCGAGAGTTGAAATGAGCTGGGGCCGTGGAGATGGGTTGGGTTTCTGCCCTGATGGCGCAGGGGCGAGACCCTTCCGATCGTCTGAGACCCAGGAGGCAGTGTGGCCTTTGGAGCTGTTCTGAACTTCAGGGTCCTGGTCAGTGGCAGGCTGGGAGAGGGAGGCACAGCCAGGGGACGGGTGTGGCCCAGTGAAGGGCAGGCTGGGGCCTCCTGAGACGGGCTCTTGGGGAGGTCTCTCTGGATCAGGATGTTGTTTGAGGCCCTGGGGGACATCTGGCAGCACGCGGCTGCTGGATGGGCAGGTCTGGACGGGCCAGGAACATGGTCTGGGCTGGGCAGAGCCACTGCGAACCAGCTTGGCCTACACGTCCTGTACCGTTGGAGCTTTTACAAGGAGGATCTATGAACGGCTTAAGGGAGAAACAGGGTAGTGTGTGGGCAGTTTTCAGGGCTGCCCAGGTGTGAGTTAGATCATGGAGGGGGCACAGCGTGAGAGGGGGTCCCAGCCCTGCTCACTCCCTGGACAGGGGCGGGGCAGGTCAGGACCTGTGGCTTCTCAGTCTCCTCCTCCCATCTGCGTTGTAGGGAGGTGAGTCTTAGGTGGGCCTTGCGTCCAGGGGAACTGGCCCAGCTGGCTCCTGAGAACCAATTGTGAACTTTCAGGAGTTTTGCAAGTCAGGTGATAATAGAGTCATTGTTTAAAAACCAGGCTGGGGGCACAGCTCGGTGGTGGCATGTGTGAGAGCCTGGGTGCGTCCCCAGCACCACACGCAGAAGAAGAAATAGACCGTGTGAATTTAGTGAATGACCAACTGCTGGCTGCGGTGGTGCGGAGAGCTTGGTCTTTCTCCAGCACCCTGCGCGACCAGCTCAGGGCCAACTCTTTCACGCCCAGAAGGGGGCTACCAGCCCCCCGGCTCCCAGGGAGGCAACGCCCAGTTCCCTGGGTGTGGGGGGGGTCTGCCCCGAGCTGGTCGCACAGGGTGCAGGAGAGACCAAGCTCTCCGCTCCTGTTAGAGGGGCCTGGGGGTTGATGGCCTCTAAAAAGGACAATCGGGTCAGGCCCCTCTGAGGGGGTGAGGTGGCCGCCGGCTCCGTGACTTCTGGGGCAAGAGATCATAGGAGACCACTCAGGGCCGAGTCCTTCTCTTCCCACACCCTCGGTCCATTTCTTGGCTCTGCCTGGAATGTGGCATGGGACCTGCTGGTTCCCTGTGTCCCACCTCTGCTCCCACCCCTTGCTGGTCCTCTCTCAGCTACGCCTGTGGTCCCCAGTGGCCGGCGCAGGATCAGGCACCCAGTGGGTGCTGGCTGAGGCTGGGCACAGTGCTTGCTGGGCCCTGCTGCTCTGGGTAGTGGTGGACTCAGGGGTCCTAAGGCCCAGGCCCTGCCCTTGGGGAGCTTCCTTGGGCTCACCTGGAAGGGGGTGTGGGCTGAGCAAGGCCTCCCCCAGCCGATTTTCACGGTTCAACGCCCATAGGCCCCTCGCCCTTTATGGACTCCTGGGGAAACTGAGGCACGGACATGGGGAGGATGACTCCAAGGACTCTTTGGGGAGATGGGGGCTTCCAGGGGGATTTTTTTGTTGTCCCCAACCACAGGCAGCTGAAGGGGAACTTGAGGAGGGTGTGGCCTTTAGGCGGGCAGCCTGCGACCACTGCAGAGGGGAAAGAAGCAGATGGCTAGGCTCAGGCGCCTCCAGTTTGTGACCTGGATTTTAGCAGCTGTTGAAACAACTGGTGGATGGGCCTGGGACCCCTGGAGGGGGCGGGGGTCAGGGAGAGATTACCTGAGGGTCCCCTGGGTAGGACAGCTGGGGACAGGGACAGCTGAGCAGGCTGCTTCTTACTAAGAATAGTCCCCTGGGTCTGCRGAGCCCCGGGAAGCCCCCTCTGTGCCCTAAGCAAAGGCGGCAGGTAGAGACGGCCCTGCTGGGCTCTGGTGATCTGTCACAACAAGTGTCCAGAAACAGACAGGAAGGGGCTGCCACTTGCCAGGTTCATCTGCCTGCATGCTCCAGGGGGACGGCTCTGGAACCGGACCAGCTTGCCCTCTTTGGCCCGGGGACCTCAGCACGTTCCCTGCCCTGTTTCCTGTCTGCAAGGTACAAATGTGGCGAACTCAAGGCGCCCCGTTCACTCTGTAAGTGGCAGCTGCCGTTTCAATAATCATAGCTCTGACCCTTGTTGGTGATGGTGGCAAAACCCACAGGTCCTTGGGTGACGTCAGGAGGGGCTGGGGGCTGGAGCATCATGGCGTGTGCAGTTTCCTCCTTCGAGGCTGCATCTCCCATAATAGGGGGGGCGTTAGACCTGGTGGAGGCCAAGGGGCATGGGAGCCTGATGGGCCATGGCCTGTGAGCATGTGTAGCCTGCCTGTCCCCGATGCCAGCTGCTTGTTACAGAGCAGGGCAGGCCTCCCAGGAGCTCAGCGTACAAGCACAGAACCAGCCAAGGTCTCTGAGCCGCAGGATCGCGACTCACTTCCCAGGAACCCTGCAGAGGGCCCATCCGCACGCCCTTCATTCTATACGAGGGCTCTAGTAGTTTGCCCAAGGTCACCAGAGCCTGCCTAGAAGCCCTTCTTRCACCTCCTGGGCTTTTCAGGTGCAGTGGTGCAAGCCTGCAGTGCCAGCGGCCCCGGAGGCTGAGGCAGGACTGCAAAGCCGAGTCTACTTGGGCAACTTTAGCAAGACCCTTTCTCAAAATTTCAAAAGGACTGGGCTGGGGCCCCCCTGGATTCTGTCCTCAGAGACCTGTCCCCCAGACCAAGTCTCAGTCCCTGAGGTGGAGTATGAATCATTCTCGTAGAAACCCCCTTGTGTGGCCTAGCACTTTATGCCTGTCTCCCAGGAAAAGCCTATAGCAGATGGAGAGACAGGGAGARCACCCGACTGCAGGTCCGTGGGCCCTGAGGCCAGCTCCCTCAGCTACGGGGGCCCGCCTCCTGGAGTCATTGTGGGAGAGGAGAGTCTTGGGCTCCACAGCCCAGGATCCCACCCAGAGCTTCCCTCTAAGCAAGACACAGGGGTCCTTGAGCTGGAGGGTTAGATGCCATTCCTCTGTAGAGAGCCGCAGGGTTCCCTCAGACTCTGGGACCCGATCCCTCAGGGGAATCCAAATTCTGGGGTGACCATGGCCACATGGTGGGTGCTGATACACCCTGTTGGATGAACYCAAGTGCCGGCACCAAGAGCCAGAGGCCTTTGGCTGGAGCTCGGCTCTGCTGCCCACCATCTGGGAGCCATGGTGAAGCACCTGGTAGCTCTGAGCCTCCGTTGTCTCACCTGTAAATGGGGCAGAGGACGAGGGGAGGCTCCCCGCGCAGAGCCTGGATGGGTGTCTGTGAGGCCTGTGCAGGGAAGCTCTTTGGACTCCCAAGAGCCCGGCTCTCATGCGGGATGCACCTTCCCCTGGGCTCCGTGGTGACCGCCCAGGCTCAGGGTGGCTGTGTTGGTGGCAGAGAGCCCACCCTGCTCTCCCCTATACTTGTGCTGCAGCCCTGCAGGACAGTGGCTTTCTGGCTCCTGAGAGCACCTGGCCAGGCTGCACCATGGTGGTGTTAGCCGCTGTCCTCTGGCCCTTCTCTGGCTGGCTGTGGGAAGGACTGGAAATGGGCAGCTCTGGGGGGGCCTGGCAGTACTCTGCCCCCAGCCCCAAGCCAAGGCCCATCTGCCTGTGAAGTCTCCCCTGATGCTTGACTCGGTGGCATGGTGGGGGCAGCCTCACCCTGGGCTGGGCTGGGGGACAGGGAGTGGCTCAGAGGGTGATGGTTGGCATAGGAGGCTGCGTAGGACCCAACCCTCAAGCGGCTCAGAGTGGAGCCAGCCAGGCACACCCAGAGCACAGCTCAAGCCCTGCCCTTTCTGTGGGTGACCTTGAGTGAGCTGCTCCCCATCCTGCCGCAGCACGCCCAAGCCCAGGCCTGGCAGCAGACGTCCTCCCTTGGAGCCCCATTGCTGCTGTGTGTCCTTGAGCAAGGCCCTTGCCTCTCTGAGCCCAGAGGACCCTCAACACCAGTTCAGACCAGAGCCCGGGGTTCAGCCCCAAGAAGGGAGCAAGTTAGGTGCCTGCTACCCCTGGCACCGTCTGAGGCTGGCCCTGGGCTGGGGCTGCTGCAGGAGGAGGTGGGGAGGGAGTTTGGTGGTAGACGCTCTGAGGCTGCCGAGGAGCAACTTAGGAACCTGCAGTAGGTTCTGGAACCCTCTGAATCAAGGAGGAGGACACAGACCACTCCCTTAACATCTGGGTCCCACCAGGGTCCTGGTGGTCTCCAGTTAGGAGCTGAGGCCTGAATCCTCCGGTGGGGAGGTGGCAGCTTGGCATCCCCTAGGATGGGTCTATGAATCTTGAGTGACCTTGGGCAGTGGAAGTGACCTTGCTTGCCAGGAAGCCCTTCTTAGCGCTGAGACCTTCCAGAAGGGCTGGGAAGGTGGAGAGTGCCCAGGGGCTGCCCAAGGCCATGCTGCTGCTGCTCACTGGGCTCATGTGCCCCAGCCAGGCTTGGTCCTAACCCTGAGCCCCCCTGTCCACAGGCTCCCCACTGCACAAGCAGGCCTCGAGCTCACCGTCCTCCACCGCAGCCCCGGAGAAGCCCAGCTCGAAAGCGGCCGAAGTGGGTGACGACTTCCTGGGGGACCTGGTGGTGGGCGAGCGCGTGTGGGTGAAYGGTGTGAAGCCCGGCGTCGTGCAGTACCTGGGCGAGACGCAGTTCGCGCCGGGCCAGTGGGCGGGCGTGGTGCTGGACGACCCCGTGGGCAAGAACGACGGCGCCGTGGGCGGCGTGCGCTACTTCGAGTGCCCGGCGCTGCAGGGCATCTTCACSCGGCCCTCCAAGCTGACCCGGCAGCCCACGGCCGAGGGCTCGGGCAGCGATGCCCACTCGGTGGAGTCGCTCACTGCGCAGAATCTGTCGCTGCATTCTGGCACGGCCACGCCCCCGCTGACCAGCCGCGTCATCCCGCTGCGGGAGAGCGTCCTCAACAGCTCTGTCAAGACAGGCAACGAGTCGGGCTCCAACCTCTCGGACAGCGGCTCTGTGAAGCGGGGCGACAAGGACCTACGCCTGGGAGACCGCGTGCTGGTGAGTGCAGGTGGCACCCAGAGAGGCAAGTTGCAGGGAGGGGACAGGAAGGGGACTGGGGGCCTTACAGGGAGTCCACAATTGGGCATGTCCTCATCAGCACCACACCAAGGGACAAGGGAGCCAGGTGAAGTAGGCTCTGGAGACTTGCTGTGTGAACCTCGGTGAGCATCTGAACCTCTCGGAGCCTCAGCCTTCCCATCTACACAATGGCAACTTTAATAGCACCTGACTGGAAGGTTGAAATGTGTTACTACTGTCCTGCCTTCACATAGTCACTGATTTTTACTCAAATGCCCCATAAATACTGGCCATCTTTGACATTATTCCATTTATCCAGCCTGCCAACATGGCTGCACCAGATGTGCCCTGGAGAAGGCTGGGCACCAGTGCTCCCAGCCCCTGCCCAGGGCCAGGCGGTACCCACGCCCAGTCAGCTATAACCTGAGTGACCAGTGTTGTTGAGGCCAGGAGAATTGGGTCACTGAAGGCTTCCTTCCAGGGGTCCCTCTTCTCTGGTGGTCCCAAATGTTAGAAAGTGGACGGTGGCCCCCAGTTCCTTTGGAATCTGGATCTGTCCTTCTATACTCTGAACATGGCAGTATTTCCTGGGTACCTGCTATGGCCAGACTGAGGGGGTACCAAGATGAATGGGACAGAGCCTCACCTGATGTGTCCCAGCTGTCTCTGCCCTCCCAGGACCACAGTGTTGTGAAGGGGACAACACACAGGRAAGTCCCTGAAGGTGGCCTGGCATGAGCAGCCGATGGGAGGCATTTGACTGGGGAGAGCGGGGCTCACCTGGAGCCCCAAGACCCCAGAGTGGGATCCCCAAGGGTATGGCTGTCTGGGCCCCTCTCTTTGCCCTGTAGACCCTGCTCCCCCAAACTTTTCAGGCTGGCTGTCACTTACCAATACACGTGATGGCCTTTCTCCCAGAGGCTTCTGGGAACAGCCTTTGGGGTGGAGAAGGGAGAGGAAGTGACTGTGCCTAGGGCCAGTTGGACCCTCGGGCTGGTGCTGTGAAGAAGCTTTGTCCCCTGCTTTACATGACGGGAGAAGTTGAGTGACCTGTCTGGTGATGGCACAGAGCCTGATTCAGACCAGCCTGAGGCCCACCTCTCTCTGAGCCCCATGCCCCCCTCGGCTGCCTCAGGGTTGGCCGTCCCTCGGGAGCTTCTCCTGGGGTGGCCCTGTGGTGAGCATGCCCAGACTTGATTCCTGCCTCCGGCAGCCTCCAGCCTGCAGGGGAGGGGAGATGGTGTCACAGACCTGGTTATCTCCCCACAGACTGCCCTGAAGCAGCAGTCCCCGTTGCTCAGAGGCCTTTCCTGGGGGACGTTGTTAGGCTGAACCTGGGGAGTGGCCGGCATGCTGAGAGCGGTCGTGGTTGTAGCAAATACCCAAGCAGCTAACTTACAAAGAAGAAGGGTTTGGGGGCTGCAGTCCGTGATTGATTAACCTGTGGCTTTGGGCATGGAGTGGCACGTTGTGGCAGGGGGGCGGTGGGGCCCAACCACTCACCTCATAGCCAGGGAGCAAAGAGGAAGAGCTGGGGTCCCCCAGCCCCCCTCAAGGGCACACCTCCAGGACCTGGAAGAACTGCACCCCACTTCCCCAGTAGGGCCTCCCTGAGGACCAGGGCTTTAAGATATGGTCTGCAGCTGGGTATAACCAGGTGACAGAGTCACACACTTCTTTTTTTGGGTTGCTGGGGAGTGAACCCAGGGCCTTGTGCATGTGAGGCAAGCGCTCCACCAACTGAGCCATGTCTCCAGCCCCAGGAGCTTCTTGACCAGTGGCCAGAGAGACCAGAGAAGCTGGAGAGGAGCAGGGGTCTGAGCGGGGAGCAAGGAGCCTCGGGGCAGGACCACACCCCGAGGCTGGCCTGGGAGGCCCTGGTGGGGCTGGGCTTCGCCTGTTCACAGTGRAGACTGCAGAAAGCCCAAGAGGCAGGTTCCCTGCTGCCCAGTGTGGGTTCGGGATCCGAGGTCAAGAGCCAGCCGGCTGCAGGGCAGGTCCCAGGGGAGGCAGGATGCGTGACCCCCTGCGGGTTCCTGACCCCTGTGGAGTGGGAGGCTCAGGCTCTGCATGCTACTGACCAGCCTTGGGTCCCTGCTCCCTGCAGGGAGTGGACACTTCTATCTGTGTCRGGTGTCCAGTGGCCAGAGGCTGGGCACACAGGGAGGACCGCCCAGCTGGGCCAGCAGCAGGGCTGGTCCTCCAGGGACTGCCACTTGGGCTCTCAGCCCACTGGGGCTGCAGTCTGTCCTTGGGAGCGAGCCCCGACCTGGGCACTGTGTCCAGCACTCTGTGCCTTGTCACCTTGGGCCTGTCCACTGTCACACAGGGTGGGTGCTATGTCCCATCTTCTAGACAGGGACGGTGGCCTGGCCCTGAACAACAGCCTGCAGGGCACAGGAAGGGGCAGTGGCAGCCACCTTTTTTATTCACTCAGCAAAACCTGCCTTGGAGCGGACATTCCTGGGACTCTGGGTGGAGAMAGGAGCGGATCCCAGTGAGGGGTGTCCACTCTGCAGGGTGCAGAGCCGGCCTGTGTGGGGGCGAGGCCCGGACACCGATGACACCGCTCCTGGGGCGGCYGGGAGCCACGTGACTGTCACTCCCACTCAGGACAGTTAGCCATTTCTAATAAAAGTAAACATGTCTTTGTGTGACCCAGCTGTCACCCCCCTGGTGTTCACCCAGGTGAGCTGGAAGCCATACAACCCTCCACCGCTGCTCAAAGCAGCAGGTTCCCAATGGCCACAACTCAGCCTGGCCACTGGGAGGACCTTGTGTGGCCTTGGGCGGTGGCACATCTGCCATCGGGACATTTTTCGGCAATGGGAAGAAATAAGCCATTTGGCCTAGAAAGGCCATCACGTGTATTGGTAAGTGACAGCCAGCCTGAAAAGTCGATGGGCTRGATTATTCCCACTGTGTGACCTTCAGGACCAGGCAAAGTCAGGGCTGCCTTTTTTTTTTTTTTAATGAAACTGGGGGTTGAACCAGGGAGGCTCTACCATGAGGTACACCCCAGACCTATTTTTAAAAATATTTATTTTTTTAGTTGTAGTTGGACACAATACTTTTATTTCACGTATTTATTTTTTTATGTGGTGCTGAGAATCGAACCCAGGGTCTCGCATGTGCGAGGCGAGCGCTCTACTGCTGAGCCATGACCCCAGCTGCCCCTAGCCCCTTTTTATTTTTATTTTTTATTTTGAGACAATGTCTTGATAAATTACTGAGGCTGGCCTCCAGCTTACAATCCTCCTGCCTCAGCCTCTGAAGTTGCTGGGATTACAGTCACGGGCCACTATGCCTGGCTTGGTTGAAAAATCTTTAGTCCCCCCCTGACCCTGGTGGCTGTTCCTCCATCCCTCTGTGGGATGGACACTTGGCCCCAGAAGAGGGTCCAAGACAACCTTCAGGTGAGGGGATCCAGGCAGCATGGGCTGAGGAAGGAGGGTGAGGGGAACACTTCTGCTCTGGAGGCGGAGCCCTGTCCCCAGCCAGTCTCCTCCTCTCTCACCTGCTGACACTGGTGGCCTAGGCTGTGCCCTCCATTGTGGAGATGACAAGAAGCTTCTCCAGGGAAAATGAGAACAAGAGAAGGTGGTGCAGGCATGAGCCGAACACGGTGCCACTCAACATGCCCACATGCATATTCATGCTCATGAATATTCATATGGCCTGAATGTTCACAGGGACTCCTATTCGGTGAGCCAAGGCGCTCTGGAGATGAAAGACGTGAGTGCAGAAGTAAGCCCCATGGAGGTGTCGGAGATGTCTGAGAAAGGAGGGCAAAAAGGGATGGGCAAGGACAGAGAGGACCGGCAGGAACTCGCACTCACTGAGGGCGCAGGGGCTGGGGTTGCAGAAGGAGGGGTCCCGGGGAGGGAGGCTGGGGTGGGGAAGGACTGGAGCAGCACCCCACAGTCGGCAGGTGCCTGACCCCTGGGCAGCCAGGACAGCAGCCCGCAGAGGGAAGGACAAGCCCCAGAACCTGGGACATAGACGTGCCGCGGGGCTCCTGGGTGGACAGGTACTCCCACATATGGGCTGGGACTCCATGTGGCTTTGAGAGTCGCAAGGGACCCTGGATAGCAGGGGACTCGGAGATTCTCTAGGGTCCATCCAGCTGCACTTCAGAGCGAAGGTAGTGGGGCTCAGAGGTGGCGCCTCCGCCTCACACGCTCGAGGCCCGGGACTGCAGCCCCAGCCGTGCAGAAACCAAGGCACAAGTGAAGGGGATGCAGTCAGAATGTCACCCCAGCTTTGTATCAGCTAAGACAGTAAAAATCAAAACCTCGAGGTTGTCAGCGTGCTGCTCAGAGACAGGGAGGTCAACAGGAGAGTCCCCCCGGTTCCAAGCGATTGCTTCTGGGGAGAGGAGAGAAACTGGGGCTTTCCCGATGGCTCTGCAGGTATTTGACTCAGATACTCACAAGTGCAGCTGGGACTTTGGAATTTTAAAACTGCTGCTGCAGTAATGTCCACATTTCTTTCTTTTCTTTTTTTGGTACCAAGGGTTGAACCCGGGGGTGATTAAACCCCCGAGCCCCATCCCCAGCCCTCTTTTGTATTTTATTTAGAGACGGGGGTCTCGCTGAGTTGCTCAGCGCCTTGCTTTTGCTGAGGCTGGCTTTGAACTTGCCTCACCTCCCGAGCCACCTTTCTTATTATCCTGTCCTGTGATTTTTTTTTTTTTTTTTTTGCACTGTGGTGAAGACCACATGACATAGGATCGACCGTCCCAGCCCTCGCCGAGTGCACAGGCCAGCAGCGTTAAACTCACTCACGTTGCTGCACAGCAGACCCGTGGAACTTTCTCATCTTGCAAAACAGAAACTCTGGATCTGTTAACAGTAACTTCCTCCTGGCAGGACCCCCACATCACCCTTCAAACTGCTTTTCAGGGCTACCTGTGATGCGTTTCTAGTATCCAACTCCATCCACAGTACTTAATTTTCACAAAAGTCCTTAGGGATGAAGGTGGTGAGGCTCAGAAATGTTGGTGAGGCTCACACAGCCTGTTGGTGGCTACATTTGAGTGCAGATACATGTCCCTCCCTAGCCTGTTTGTGCTCTTGAATGGGTCAGCCTGGGAGGCACTGGAACCTGCGTCCCTCCCAGCTGTTTGTGAGCCTCCTCTTCCGCGTGTGCCCCCTGCCCATATGGGATAAGTCCAGGTGCTCACACTGTCTCCATGGTGCCTGCCTCATCCTCCAGACCCCCMAAAAAATCTCTCTGTGTGCCAACAGGTTGGTGGGACAAAGACTGGCGTGGTGCGGTATGTGGGGGAGACAGACTTTGCCAAGGGCGAGTGGTGTGGCGTGGAACTGGACGAGCCCCTTGGGAAGAATGACGGGGCGGTGGCAGGCACCAGGTACGCGGGGCTTCCCGGGGACTGTGGGGGGAGGGGCAACGGGGACTGGGTGGGCTGGGAGCCAGGTGGGCCCTGAGCCAGAGCGCCCTTACCTGGCAGGAAGGTGGGTCGCTGGCCAGGGGGTGGGACGGTGGCAGCCCCCCAGCGCGTGAGCACCTGGTGGGACCTTGTGGTCCGGTGTTCCGCCTGGGACTGGAGTGGCTTTGGGAGCAGAAGAGTCCACGGTTTCCATGACAACGTATGCCTTCCTGTTTGGGGGTGGGTGACACTCATCCGCTCTCAACTCAGGAGCTGCCAGGCAGCTGCCCCTGCCTGGCCCAGCCCAAGGTGTCTTCTGCCGGCTTTTGCTTCTCTGTGTGGGGGACTCCTGGACAGAGAGCTCATGGGACTCCTTGATCTGGGGGTGATTAAGGACATCTGTGAGAACAGGGCTGCAGCCATGGCTGGGGGTCCTTTGGGAGCCAAGTTTGGGGACTTTGTACCCCAACATGCCACCAAACCAGCTGTGTGATGGTGAGCCAGTCTCTTGACCTCTCTGAGCCTAATGTCCTCGTTCGTGAATGTAGACAACACTGGGGAGGTGAGATGAACGTCCCCGTACAGGGATGGGCACTTGAGTCCTCTGACTGGTGTCTCCCCACCCCCCCAAAAGCACTCCCAGCAGGTGTTCGCAGCTGCAGGGACGCTGGGGCCCTGGTCACCTCCATTCCTGAGAATCCTGTCCCTCTGCCTGGAGGGCTCTGCCCAGGTGCGGGTGGCCAGAGATAGGTGCCCGTCTCTTCTGGGCTTAGAAGAGGTGGGAGGTGAGGTGGTGCCCGGCTGTGGGGCCGCGGTGGCAGCGTGGGTCTCCCCTGCTTCCTAGGTACTTCCAGTGCCCACCCAAGTTTGGTCTCTTCGCGCCCATCCACAAGGTCCTCCGCATCGGCTTCCCGTCCACCAGCCCGGCCAAGGCCAAGAAGACCAAGCGCATGGCCATGGGCGTCTCCGCGCTGACCCACAGCCCCAGCAGCTCTTCCATCAGCTCCGTCAGCTCCGTGGCCTCCTCTGTCGGGGGCCGACCCAGCCGCAGTGGCCTGGTGAGGGGGCCTTGGGGAGGGTGGGACTCGGTGTCCCAGTCTGCCCTCTGCTTGCCCCGGCTCCCAGTGTCCCACAGTCTGGGGTTTTGAACAAACATGGAAGTGCCCATGTTTCCTGGGAGTGATGGGGCCATTTCCATTCACTGCTCCTGTGTCCTGCCGCAGTGGTCGCCTACGCCCTTCCTGGGGGGACCGAGGGTCCGTGCGGGGTTCAGAGAGGCTGGTGGAGGCCCCTTTGTGGTGGAAAGGAGGCTGCTCCGGGAGTGGGCACGGGACCCTGTTTGGCCCAGCCTGGGCACAGGGCCCCTTGGGGTCTGGGAGGAACCAGCCCAGAGTTCCCTGAACCACGTCGTCATGGTGCGCCTTGGGGTGTCCAGGYGCTGGCCAGGCGAGAGCAGGCCCCAGGGTCCAGGCACCTCGGTGCCATGGTCCCTAAGTCCCACCTGCACCTCCGCAGCTCACGGAGACCTCCTCGCGCTACGCCCGCAAGATCTCGGGCACCACGGCGCTGCAGGAGGCGCTGAAGGAGAAGCAGCAGCACATCGAGCAGTTGCTGGCCGAGCGGGACCTGGAGCGGGCTGAGGTGGCCAAGGCTACCAGCCACATCTGCGAGGTGGAGAAGGAGATCGCCCTGCTCAAGGCACAGCACGAGCAGGTGGGCGCCAAGCCACCGGGCCCCCAGGGCCACCAGGACCCCTCCTGCCAGTCCCCAGTGCCACTCACACGCAGAGAGATACCCAGCGTGCACCAGCAGCGCGCTCGCCCCACTTTCCAGACCCGCAGCAGCCCAGTGGCCTCCCTGGGCCCTTCTGGGAACCCGGCCACGGAGCCACCTCCGCCGTCCGTCCTGCGGGAGTGCGAGCTTTTCTAGGTCACGAAAAATCCTTCACTAAGTTAGTGGCTGTGTGGCCATCATCATGACCTGTGTCCTTGTGATGTGGCCGTCCCCTGCTGTCATTTACAGTTTCTAGTCTTTCTCTTCTACATAATACCATCGGGACGTCTTGGGGACACAGTCGTCCACGTGTCATGCTCTTGAGCATATCTGGGGTTGGGTTTCGGGGCAGGCCCCTTGCCCCAAGCTTGGGGCCACTGCTGTCTCATCCCTTGATGTCTCTGAGTGACAGCCCCCACGCCCTGTACCCAGGGGGCCCAGATCAGGAAAGCCAGGTTCACCGAGGCTAGGCATGTGGCGCCTGCCCAGCGTGGGCAGCCCCCTTCAGTTAAAAAGCCTGTGGGGGCCTCCGCCTGGTGGCTGGGAAGTGGGAGGAACTGGGCCATGGTCTTGGGCCAACCTCATGCGGCTGGCAATCCCCTGGGTGGGGCCTCCTCTGCCATTCCTGATGGGTCTCTGGGCCTCAGCCTGCCCGGTTTCGCCTGCACAGGGAGCAGGGGCTGCGGGGCATCCAGGCCTGCCCCTCACCCTCCTTGCCCCTGCCTCTGCTCCTGCTGGACCCCACACCCGCCCCAGGAGACTGGCCCTGACCCTGCCGTGGCCCATGCTTGGGCCAGTATGTTGCAGAGGCAGAGGAGAAGCTGCAGCGGGCACGGCTGCTGGTGGAGAGCGTGCGGAAGGAGAAGGTGGACCTGTCCAACCAGCTGGAGGAGGAGCGGAGGTACGTGGTGCCCGGCCACCCTGCTGGGCCAGAAGGTCGGGAGGAGCACGGGCTCCGGGGTCCAGGCCCCAGCTCCAGTCCTGCTCTGCCGCCCCAGCAGTGTCACCTGGACTAGAGCCCAATCTCTGGGCCTTGGTCACCTGCCTGTTGAGTGGGGACACAGGGTGACGGGAGCAGAGCTCCTGCAGAGGCCCGRCACAGACAGACGCTGTGTCTGCGGCTGTAGACCGCACGTTCCCACCGGCCAGCGTCTCATCACAGGAGACGAGCCTGGCCCTCCTGGGAGCCGAGACTGGGGCCAGGGCCCCGCCTTGCTGCCACTGAACCCCTGGGCCAAGTCCCCTGCACAGAGCTTCCAGCTCCTATCCTGGGGCTTGGTCCCCACTTCACATGCTAGGAAGCTGAGGCCCAGAGACGGCAGCAGAAGGACACTTGGGACGCCTTGCGYGGTGCTAGCCAAGCACCGTCCCCTCGTAGGATGAGCCTGGGGGCTGCCGTATCGCAGACAGAAAGCAGACCCGGTGCGCACCTAGGGGGTGCTGCTGTTTCCTGCCCCGCCACAGGGGCCGTGGGGGCATCCTGTCTCTTTCTGAGGCAACTACAGGGATGGGGCACACGTCCCTTCCTCCCAGGAAAGCTCCTGGCCAGGGGGTCACGGTACCAACAAACCCTACAAAGTCAGATGTTTACGCCTCCCACCAGCCCAGCCCGAGGAGGGAGGCCGAGTGATATGGGCGGGTTTGCCTGGTCCCAGAGCCTCTCCCCCTCCCACCCTCCAGCCCCCCAACGTGCCCCAGGCCCAAGCCCCCACTTGCATCTGTGTTTGGGGCTTTCAGCCAGGGCCTGGGCTCCGCAGGCTGCTGTTTCTGTCTGACTCCCAGAAACGAGGGTTTATTTCTATCTGCTGAGATGGTCATCAGAGGCCATGGTCATCGAAGCCCACACATCTGGCTCCCATGGCAATGGTCCTGAAGCTGATCATCGAAAGCAGTTCTGTAAGGCATTGCAGAAATTGTGTCCAGTAGGGGCCAGCATTGGCCTGTGCTTGCTGGGTGACCTTGGGCAGGCAACTTGCCCTCTCTGACCCTCTGTCCTTCCTCCCAGCTCACAGATTGGTCCACTTGGCAGCGTCTGCTCCCTTCGGAGCCCTCCCTAACATGGTGGTGACTCCATTACTAGTCCACCATCCTCTGTCCCCCCAGCCGCCCCAGGAGAAAGGAAGGTCCTGCTCAGAGTGCAGGGTGGGCTGGGAGATCTGAAGGCCTCCAGAGAGCTCTGCTCCTGGGGACGGTCCCTCCGCGTGGTCTGGGCTCGGTTCCAGCTGCAGGCAGCCTCACCTTTCTCGCCGCCATTGACCTGATGCAGCCCTCCTCCGGGCCAGGCGGTCAGTCCCCTCTCTCCCCCCTGCAGGAAGGTGGAGGACCTGCAGTTCCGGGTGGAGGAGGAGTCCATCACCAAGGGGGACTTGGAGGTAAGGCTAGGGCCCTCCCTGAGCTGACCCAGCATCCCGCCGGGGGGCTTGCCGGCTTGCGCTGGCAGCACTGTGGGCCTCCTTGGGAGGAGGCTGGGAGGTCGCAACGGGAACAGGGAGGAGGGGTCATACCTGGAAGAGCAGGGAGAGGCCGCCAGGAGACATCGGTGTAGAGCAGAGGTGGGAATGGCTCTGTCAGAACCCCACAGGAGCCTGTGTTGGTGGCTGGGGTGGGGGACAGGATGGACCAGGGCAGTGAGGACACCACCTGGGCCTGAGAATGAAGTAGTGGGCTTCCCGTCCCTTCCCGTTGGGCAGTAGCCCCAGAGTTGTCCCTTGGGCCGTCGGTTCACCTGGGACTCCAGGTGCTGTCTGGCTGGAAGCTCATGGGGTCACCGAAGGCGTAGAGAACTGAGGCTCAGAAAGGCAGAGGGACGCGACGAGTTGAGCCAGCAGGACTCGGCCCCATTCCTCACTGTCCTGGGCGCTGGGCCTCCAGCTGTCACCCTCACTCCTGGCTCTAGGCGCCCTTCCCTCTGCAGTCACACCCACCCGTCAGGTCCAGGGGGGGCTACTCAGGTCAGYTGACCAACGGACGTGGCCCCTGGAGCCTCCCCAGACCACCCAGAGACCACAGGGCTCCTGAGGCCGCAGTTGAAGGGGCCGGAGCACCTTCTGCCTCCTGGGATGTGACAAGGGACAGAGCTCCCAGAGCTGGCAGATGGAATGGGGACAGCGAGGTCACTCCCTTCCCCTCTCTGGTTCTGGCTGTTCCCTCTCCTGGGCCTGTTTCCTGCTCTGTAAAGGAAGGAGGCCGAGYCCCTCAGGGTCCCTGAGTCCCTGAGCCTGTGTCCTGGAGGCAGGCCGGGCCATCCCTGGCAGGCCTGGGACCCCAGAAGCTGCCTTCCCCCACGTGATGGTGCCGTCCAGGGGCTACACTCTGGGAACCCTAGCAGACTGCTTCAGCAGTGAGCTTCGAGCTCAAATCAGAAATCATAGTTTCTGACCTCGAGAGCCGCGTGAAGACCCCTGACTTCCAGTTCCCCACCAGCAAAACTGCACTGGGCATCCTGTCCCTGGGCCATCCCGGCTGGGCAATGGGAGGGGGACGTGCACCCTGTGTAGAGTCTCTGCCAGTGGCCTCTGTCAGCAGGTCTGCATGACTTGAGGTGGCATCAGGCCGTTTTGACGCCTGTGTCCCTCAGAGCCAAACATTTAGCCAGTTTTTCTCATGGGCAGCTGTCCCCCTACAGGGGCTGGGCTGGGTTGTGGGAAAGCAGCTGGGGTCGCTAGAACAGAGCTCCCTTGCCCCAGCCAGTGTCAGTCCCCAGGGATATGGGGAATCCACGCCCTGCAAGGACAGGCGGGGCAGAGACCTRGAGCAGATCTGCTAGGAGCCGAGCCCCCCAGCAGAACCTCCCTCTTCTCCTGAGTCGGGCCTGTCTGCCTTCCTGGCTCACTGTCCCCCCTCCACCCACCTGCTCCAGCCTGCGGGTGCCACCCATCACCCCCCAGTTACCCTCACAGGAGAATCTGATTGGCCCCAGGCCAGCCAGTGGGCGGGTGGGCTTTGATCAGGGGCCCACCCCAGATGCAGTGCGGCCTGGTCGGGAGAGGCCAGGCAGGTGCAGGACAGACAGTGATGGCCAGTTCCTAGGGAAGGGCTGTCGCATCCCATGGTGACGTTTGTATGTATAAATTGAATCGTGACCATTTTCGTGGCAACCAGGAGGCAGATTGACCCCGAGTCTCCTCATCCCCACCCATCTTAAGAGTCAAAATTAAAAACCAGGAGCCTGCTGGGCCCCCTCCGGCTGTGTCACCCCACCTCTCTGTTAGTGCTCACAGCGAGGGAGTTGCCCCTGAGAGCGGTTCCCCTTCTGTCCCCTCCCCCAGTGACAGCCCATGTCCCCATTCCCACTTCCTGGCCTTCTTGCTGGCCTTCCACCCCCTGACCTCCGAGTGCAGACTCKGGCCTTTGGCCTCTGGTCCAGGCGGGGCCTCAGCATCCCTGTGGGGCCCTCCGGGCATGCCCTCATGACATTGCCGCCAGGATTCCCTGGGCTGCAAATCTCTCTAGCCGAGCGACTGAAAGCGGCACCCACTCAAGCCTTCCAGTTCTGGAGGCCAGAAGCCTAACCTGGCGGTGCTGGGCGCAGCTGGTCCCCTGCGGAAGGAGGCTGCGGAAGGCCTGGGCGTACCCTCCTGGCGTCTGCCAGCTGCCCGCCCCTGGCCAGCCCTCGCCCGTCCTGCTGGCAGCTCTCCCATGACTGACGCGTGGCCTTCCTCCAGGACACCAGTCATGGGGTTGGGGATGGGGTCTACCCAGTCCAGGCTGATCTCAGTCATGACAAGAACGGAGACCCTGCTCCAGACAAGGCCCCGTCTGAGATTCTGGGCAGGGGGACCTGTCCCCACAGGCTCTGGCTTCCTGTCCCTGCCTTGCCTGAGCACCCCCCAGCTGTTCCCATCTTCTCGCCCCCCTCATCRCTCCAAAACAAGTGCCTTGACCTTGGTGCCCAGGTCACCTCTGTCCCCACAGCTGTCCCCCTGGGAGACGGCACCAGCCCACACCCACCCCGGTCCTTACCCTTGCTCCTCCACACGAAGCCACCATAGCCTTTTTAAAAATATCTTGTAAAATTTTTAATAGTGGAAAATTTTAAAGCTGTTCAACAGCAGAGAGGACAATGTCACGAGCTCCCAGGTCCCATCACCGGCTCCTCCAGGTGCCAACTCATGGCTGATCCTGCTTCAGCCCCCACCCCACCCCATCACATCCCACTCACCCTATGACCAAAGCTTCCCTGTGGCCCCCCAGGTCCTGCCCCTTCCCTGCTCACACCTGCAGGTAACGCCAGGCTCTGGAGTGGCTGGGAGAAGACCCTCAGACGCAGCTCCACCTGGTCTCAGGCCTGGTGGCTCCTGTGTGCCCTAACGTGCCTCTGCCTGTGCCGRGTCCTCTGAAGCCCCTGACCCGCACTCTGCCTTAAGTAGACTCCTCTCCCARGCCCACCCCAGGTTCCCTCTGCCCACTGCCCAGGTCTCTCCCAGAATGACCTTCTCTCTGCATTTATCATTGGCATYCTTCCCCAGGATCTCTGCCCCTCGAGGGTGGCACCTTGTCCAGCTTATTCACCTCTGTGTCTCTGAGGCCAGGACGTGGTGAGGAGCACGTTTGTCCTCGGGTGGGCTTCCTGGGTCACAAGCTGAGAACAAGTTTGGGGTCCATGCCTTGCCCTGGATGTCACAGCTTTAGGCCTGACAGCACTGGGGGTCTGCTKTGAGTCACCCCGGCTGTGGTGCCCTCTGGTAGCACCTGGTGCTTCTGAGTGGTCTGTCATTCACAGGAGACCAAGGGAAGCCCTGGGCCTCTGTCCTTCAGGGGCCCTTCCCAGCTCACTCATGAAGCAAACCCTGGACTACCAGAGAGCTGTCCCCAGGTGGTGGGGTGGACGCCGCTCAAGGGAACGAGGAAGGGCTGTTGGCAGAGCTCTGCCAGATCTTGAGCTGGGGCAGGGCAGCAGGCAGCCTGCCCTTCCCTCTGCAGGAGCCCCTGGCTGCTGTGCACAGGTGCAGGAGCTGAGGACTCCGGCGAGCGCCTGCGCTGGTCAGAGTTTCACTGCTGACTGACCAGTGCCAATAGAAAGGGGAAAGGTTTATTTGGGGGCTCATGATTTTTGAGGACCCAGCCGACAGGCAGTCGGCTCCATTCCTGGGGCTCAGGGTGAGGCAGGAYGTCTTGGCAGAGGGTGTGGGGAGCAAAGCAGCTCACGTGGTGACCAGGAAGCAGAGAGACAAAATATCTACCCCAAAGGCTTGTCCCCAGTGCCCACCTCCCCTGGCCACACCCYGCCGGCCTCCAGGTACCCCCCAGCTACTCCCCACCTGGGGACTAATTCAGAGCCAGTTACTTCACCTCCAAACCTTGCCTTGTCCCACACGTGAGCTTCAGGGGGACACCACACATCTAAACCRTTGCAGTGCCCGCTTAGGGATGTGGTGGTCTTGGCTCTGGACCCCGCCCTGCTGAAGCTGCTGGTGGCTGCGAGCCCTGGCCCTCCCTGGAGCAGCCCCTCCCCTCCCAAACTGACACCAGTTCAGCTGGATGGGGCTCTAGTTATTCCTTGAGGGAAATTCAGAAAACAAGATGATGAGCCAGGGGGTCTGAGCATCTCCATCGCTGTTTATGTGTTGCAAGGGAAGTGCAGTCACCCCTCGGAGTCCAGGGAGTGGCTGGCTCCAGGACCSCAGAAACACTAAGAGTGTCAGATGTTCAGCCCTTGTGCGAATGGCACAGTATTTGCATAGACAGACCCTGCATCCCCTGCCAGGTCCTTTCAGTCACCTCTAGGTAACCATCAGGGGCACTCAGATGCTGGGTAAACAGTTGTCTTCCTGGGGAATGAGGACATGGAACAAAGTCTGGATAGGCTCAGTACAGACTGAGGGTGTTTTGTTTTGGGTACCAGGCAGTGGAGCCAGGGCCCCTGGCCACGGAGCCATGTCCCTAGCCTTTTGTGGGTTTTATTTTTTATTTTGAGACAGGGTCTTGCTAAGTTTTGAGGCTGACCTTGAATTTGCAACCCTCCCGCCTCAGCCTCCCAAGTGCTGGGATTACAGGTGTGTGCGYCACSGCGCCCAGCCCGGKTTCAGTTTTTAAGAAATATTCTCACCAGGCTGGTGGAGTGTGCTTGTGATCCCAGCACCTCAGGAGGATCACAAGTTTGAGGTCAGGCTCACAACTTAGCAAGGCCCTTTCTCAAAACAAAAATATATCAATAAAAAAGGGGATGCAGCTTAGTGGTGAGGCACCCTTAGATTCCCCAGGACCAAAAAAAGGGGAAGGAAATTATTTTCAACTAGGGGCTAGTGGGGTCTGCGGACGCTGCCCCACCAGCATGGAGGGCTGTTTCTGGGCGGAGGGTCTCCACACCTTCAGCGGAGGACCAGCCTCAGCTGTTGGCGCATGCGTGCTGTTTCATGGAGGCGCCTGCGACTTGGCGCTACTTTTGTCTCCTGGAAGATGAGCCTGGTTTTCAAACTGGTTCCCCAGGGTACCCAGGGCGAGAGCCCTCCACTCCCTGCCTCCCCACCAGGGTCCACCACGGGCAATCAAATGCCATCGTGGCGCCCTGAGAATGCCAGGCTTTGTTAGCGGATAAAGCGGGTGTTGTGTAGTGGGGACAGAAGTGCTCTTGTGCTTCCTGGAGACCAGGCGTCCTCCATGCCCCCACCCGGGGGGTGGGGCGGGCAGCGACCAGGCAGGCGGTGGGAGGCACRGCCCAGCGCCACCCAGAGCTCAGGCTGGAGAACCAGGGTGGTGCATGTGAGTTTATCTTTGCAATCTGCCCAATCCGCTGCTCTCTGTCAGCACCGGCCTGGGGACCTGTCACTCCTGGGACCACATTTCCTCCTCCTCCTAAAGGCCTCCTGTGTGCCCAACCCTGTTSCCAAAATGAGTCCCAGCCCACAGGCTCCCTGAGGGGCAGCAGGGAGAGGAGGGGCCCTCCCCGGAGCAGACATTGGAGTCCTGAAAATCCCAGGGCGGCCACAGGGGTGACAGGCAGGAGGATCCAAAGTTCGAGGCCAGCCTCAGCAATTTAGCRAGGCCCTTAGCAATTTAGGAAGAGGCTGTCTCTAAAATATAAAAAGGGCAGGGGCCGTGGCTCAGTGGTTAAGCACCTCTGGGTTCAATCAAGGGTAACTCTCCCACCCAAAAACCACCCAGCCGGGCCCCCTGCTGGGGGGGCTCCGCACCCCGATCTGCAGGCCTCTATCCCTGAGCAATTCTGGCTCCTCGACCTGCTCTGTCTTGTTCGCGGAAGATGACGCCTCCTCTCTCTCTCTCTCCCCCTCTCTCTCTCCGGCTTCCTCTTCCCTGTCCCCCGCGCCCGCCTCCCCCGTCCCCGGGTGGAGCAGACCCAGACGCAGCTGGAGCACGCGCGCATTGGGGAGCTGGAGCAGAGCCTGCTACTGGAGAAGGCGCAGGCAGAGCGGCTGCTCCGAGAGTTAGCGGACAACCGGGTAACGCCGCCACCGCTCGCCCGCCAGCCCCGCCTGGAGGCCCCTGGCTTCTCTGTTGTGCCCCTTGCTGTCCTTGCTGCTGTCCCACTGCCTTCTCCTTTGGGCTCCCTTTTTCCGAGGGAAGGAGGATTTAGAAGTGTGCTCAGGCTCCACGGCCACGTCTGCTCACTGGAGGGGACATCTGGCTCAGGACCCAGGCCACTGGGATGGCTCTGTGAGCCGCCCTGTGCCTCGCCTGGGGCGTGGGCACGTTGGAAGATGGGCCTCCTAGATGTGGTCAGGCCCMGCAGCCGCAGGCCCAGGTGTTGCTAGCCTCAGTGGCAGGAAAGCCTGGCCCGACAGAGCTGGGCCGAGAAGTGACAGGGCGTTGGGGAAGTGGGTCCCTAGGGGGTGCAACAGGGAGCCCCAGGAAAGTGCTACTGGAAGGCGAGTTCCCCTGAATCACCAGGGCATGCATGGTTCCATGTCGCACTCCAGGCCTGGCTGGCCCATGCATGGCCACTGTGCATACACTGAGGCCAGCACCCTTTTCGGGCCGACCCAGCCGACAGYGGTGACAGGAAGACACCTTCTGCACAGCACGAGGGCTGGTACAGCACAGCCCTGGAGGGGTGCTCGTGTGTGATGTTGGAGAGTCCCAGGCATCTGGTGGCACTCGATGGCCGTGGCCCTGTGGCCACGTGTGCTCATTCGTATGCAGGGAGGCTGTGTGCAGAAACCCACCTGCAATGGTGGGCAGGTTGGAGCCTCCACTGGAGGCACCTGATCTTGTCATCAGCTAACACAATGAAAATAGGTTTATTGAACCAAAAGACATTTACGAACAAAAGCTTTGAAGTTTGTAAAAGATTTGAATCTTTAAGATAAACCTATCTTAAAGATTGCATGATGGTGCACAGCTGATATCCCAGCCATTCCTGAGCGGCTGAGGCAGAAGGATTACAAGTTGGAGGCCAGCCTCTGCAACTTAGTAAGGCCCTGTCTAAAAGAATAAAGAGGCTGCGGTGTAGCTCAGTGGTAGAACTCCCCTGTGCAATCCCCAGCCCCCCAGATCTGAGGCAACCAGSTAGGGTTTTGGAGGGTGGAGCCCTGATGGGTCTGGAATCCTCAGTTCTGTTTTGCTGAAGATTTGAAAGTCAGCTGCCCTTGACCACTATTCAGCCAGGCCCTCTGTGAGTTGGCCCATTCTGGCCTAGGCTGATCTCTCTCTAGTGAGACAATGCAAAACTTACTCTGGCCTCTGCCCTTTAAAAATAACATTAGTAACCTGTGCAGTGTTGCACGCCTGTAATCCTGGCGACTCAGGAGGCTGAGGCAGGAGGATCACAAGTTCCAGGCCAGCTTCAGCAACTTGGGGAGACCCTGTCTCAAAATTTAGGGGAAAAAAAAAGGACTAGGGATGTGACTCAGTGGAAAAGTACCCCCGGATTCAGTCTACAGTCCCACCAAAAAATTTAAAAGTGGTGACCTTAGATCAACAAAGCTGTCACCTTAAAGAAGTGGTTCCTCTTACCCACCAGTTTGTCCCAAGCCGGTTGGGCATCAGGGGCACCCGCATCATGCGGCTGACCTCATGGTTGGGGTACAGCCAGCACCAGGTGGGAGTGGGCCGCTTCCCTTCTCCTGCTGTCCCAGCCCTCTGACCCATCTCCCTCTCTCCCGGTAGCTGACCACGGTGGCCGAGAAGTCCCGGGTGCTGCAGCTGGAGGAGGAGCTGACCCTCCGATGCGGCGAGATCCAGGAGCTCCAGCAGTGCCTCCTGCACTCGGGGCCCCCACCCCCTGACCACCCCGAGGCGGCTGAGACTCTGCGCCTGCGGGARCGGCTGCTGTCAGCCAGCAAGGAGCGCCAGCGGGAGAGTGGCCTGCTGCGCGACAAGTACGAGAAGGCCCTGAAGGCGTATCAGGCCGAGGTGGAGAAGCTCCGAGCTGCCAACGAACGGTACGCACAGGAGGTGGCCGACCTCAAGGACAAGGTCCAGCAGGCCACCAGCGAGAACATGGGACTCATGGACAACTGGAAATCCAAGCTGGACTCGCTGGCCTCCGACCACCAGAAGTCCCTGGAGGACCTCAAGGCCACACTCAACTCGGGCCCCGGGGCGCAGCAGAAGGAGCTCGGGGAGCTGAAGGCGGTGATGGAGGGGATCAAGATGGAGCACCAGCTGGAGCTGGGCAACCTGCGGGCCAAGCACGACCTGGAGACAGCCGTGCATGTGAAGGAGAAGGAGGGCCTGCGCCAGCGGCTACAGGAGGCCCAGGAGGAGCTGGCYGGGCTGCAGCAGCACTGGCGGGCGCAGCTGGAGGCACAGGCCAGCCAGCACCGGCTGGAGCTGCAGGAGGCGCAGGACCAGTGCCGCGATGCCCAGCTGCGCGTGCAGGAGCTGGAGAGGCTGGACGCCGAGTACCGCGGGCAGGCGCAGGCCATCGAGTTCCTCAAGGAGCAGATCTCCCTGGCCGAGAAGAAGATGCTGGACCACGAGCTGCTGCAGCGGGCAGAGGCGCAGAGCAAGCAGGAGGCGGAACGGCTTCGGGAGAAGCTGCTGGTGGCTGAGAACCGGCTGCAGGCCGTGGAGTCCCTGTGCGCGGCCCAGCACACCCACGTAGGCGCGGCTGGGCCTGGGCGGGTCCATAGACAGCACGCTCCTACCCGGGCGCGTGCCCGAGGGGATCATGGGCACCTGGCTCAGAGGAGGGGACGGTGGGATGCCAGTGGCCAGGCTGAGCCCACGGGGCCCCCTCAGAGCAGGCTGGAGAGAGGCTTGGGGGCCACTGGCTCCTCTGGCTTCTCCTCCAGGTGCCCCTCCGCCCACAGCACAGCACCCAGGGCAGGTGCGCCTGCCGGGGGCCTCCAGCCCAGCAAGCACCCACAGGGTGCAGGAGGTTGCCCTGAAGAGGCTCAGCCACAGTGACCAGCCACTGTTCCAGTGCAGGGGCCCTGAGGTGGGGTCTGAGGCTGGAGAGTGGTGGCCTTGGGCCACTGCACCAGTATTCAATTTTAGAAATCCCCTAAATGTCTGGCCCTTCCCCTGCCACTGAGCCTGGCACAGTACCTAGGGACCATGGGGGACTCTGTCCACCCCAGCAGGGCTGCAAGAGCCTCTGAGYGGCTCTGGGCACATCCGTGCTGGGCCCTGCATTGTCCCATTTCACCCTAACTCCCCAGAGGTCAGCATTGCTCCCATCACGGTGAGCAGTGAGTCCCCTTCCCAGGTGCCCTGCCTGGCCGTGGTGGAGATGCCGGACCCCGTGGGCAGTAGAGCTGACGGGGGCGCCGGCTCCCCGTCCCTGGGGGAGCTCGAGCTTTCTGAGAATTGAGCATTTGGGATCAGTTTTCTGCAGCCCGAGTGCGGATTCCTTCTCCTGTCAGAGGAGACCTTTCTGCTGGTGCCTTGCCGTCCCCTGCAGGGCCTCCCTGCCCCTTTCTCCCAGGAGGGGCCATTTCRAGCAGTTGCTCTCCCAGGACCCTGGGGGAAAGAGGAGGCAGCGGCTCTGGTTAGCTGATGGGTGCAGGGGCCAGATGGGCCACTTGGGGCAGGTGGACAGAGCCYGCGACCCCCAACCTGGATCCCCTTGCAGGGAGGTTTGGGCTGCTGTGGTCCCTCAGAGCTGGAGGACGGAGGCTGAGGATGCCCTGCCTCTTGCCCCAAACCCCTCAGTCACAGTGGCTCCTGGCTGCAGAGAGGGTGGCAGCCTCAGGACAGATCCTCCCATGTGCAGCAGGCCTCCATCTGGATGCCGTGTGCCCCAAGATTCAGAAGTTTAGGTCTTAGCCGGGCATGGTGGTGCACATCTGTGATCCCAGCAGCCCTGAAGGCTGAGGCCGGGGGATCTCGAGTTCAAAGCCAGCCTCAGCAATTTATAAGCAACTCAGTGAGACCCTGTCTCTAAATAAAATACAAAACAGTGCTAGGGATGTGGCTCAGGGGTTA